TGTCTCCAGATAATTATGAAAAATTGCAGTAAAGTTAATTTGCTCCATGTTGACTTCCTGAAAAAAAACACACCTCACTTCCTTTACACATATTTCATCTTCCTGTTTTCTTTGTGTGACTCACACAGCTGTTATGCATTTAATATTTGTTTTATATATTTTCTTTAACTTATTCAGTAATTGTTAATAGCAATTTTAAATTCAAATGTATTAGAAATTTTGTCTTATATATGTACTAATTTGTCATATAAAATGCATTTTCAGAATGAAATGAAAAATTAAAATCACTCAACTCTAGAATCAATTTGTTGTAATTACATTTAATGCAATAAATCTATGACTTTATAAACAATCTTCTTTTTAATTCTTTCAATTACTATTTTAAAAAAGTATTACGGAAGAATATATTTATCTATACATCCTGCGTTAAGGTATAAAGAAACAAAAATAACATCACATAGATAAGGGATGGAAAATTTTATGAACTTTAAATCTGGTAGAGAAAACATGGTGGATATGAAAAAAAAAGAGAAGTTTCCATGCCAATTAAGAATTTTTACCTTTTTGTATGTATTTATGTGATGTGTACATGTATGTTTGAGCATTTAAACTTGTAATTTATTGATTCTGCTATATATATTAATTAATTAAAGCATCAAAACTCAAACTAAAATTATAGAAATAATAGTTTATTTCTTAAAATAAAATATTTTTTGATAGTATAGAACATTTAATCCTTAAATATTCTATGCATATTAAATATTTTCATATTAAATGAGAAAGATATAAGACTTTGTTTAAAATATAGAAGTAAGCAATGATAAAACTTGTTTAATATTTGTAATTTCAATTTTTATGCTTGATTAATTATTCACAAATGGTTTCAATAGATTTGGATGTTACATTATACCTACTCACGGTCATTCAGAATGTAGATTTTAGATGGACTTTCATGATTCAAAAATAAGTAGCATTAACTGAAAATTTGCCTACTGAATTTTTAATGTTTATAACTAAAAATCTGCATCAATATTTAAATATTTTCAAAATGTATTGCATCTGTAGAATCTCCTTGAAAATTCAAATTATATTTTTAGATTAGTTATCTTTCTGACATAACAACAGTTCAAACAGTTTAAATTTAGCTTCAACTAGATTTTAAATATGTTTTGTATATTCAAATATAATAAATCTATACAATTTTAAAGTTGAATTATTACAAAATATAAACTTAAATATAACTAAAAGTCTAAACTGTTTAAAGAATTGTATTAGAAATTTTTTAATAAGCAATTCTTTAAAGTTACTAAAAAAATTTATTTTAATTGAAACTAATTTATTAAAATTAGGTGAAAATTAATTAAAGCAATTTGATTTGTTTTTTTTTTAATAAATAATTGCTTGATTGTACATTTATTTATATTTTATAAGGTTTATTTAAAAACCCTTCTAATTTAAAATTTTTTAATATGAATGAATATTATGGTGTGAATGTATTATTGCTTAATTTAGAGTAAAAATAATAGAATTCTAAATTTATAATACAAATTTTCCAAGAAAATTTATAATTTTAAAGTTTAAATGTTAAAACATAATGTTCAGATTAGAAAAAAATGGGAAAACTAAATTGTTTCTGTTAAAGTTGAAAATTAGAAAAATATTTTTAGTTGTTTGTTGAAGAAGATTTGAGGAGAAAACCATTTATGTAAGATCAAAAGGAATCAAACTTTCACTACGTCTGTATCTAATAATAAATCTCATAAACTGGTAAAGTGAATAAATGAGATCTTCCAGCAGAAATATTTTATTTATAAAATGTTTTGGCTAACTGGACAGCCATCCTCAGGATTAAATATCCCAATGTTCTTTAGTAATATGTTTGTTTTTGCTTTCCTGAAGCTGAGTGAAATAACTCTAAAAGTACTTGTAAACTACATAGTTGTTATTTATATATACTCCATTAAAACATTTCCTACATACACAAAGTAAGGGAAAGATTAGCAATATGAGCAAGCTTTATTTTACCTAATTAAAATAAAACAGTCGGAATATGAAGTACACCTTGAAAATAGTTGTAAAATTAAAAAATCTGTAAATTAAGGTAAATTTACAGTTAATCAAAAAGCTATTAAAAATTTTCAACAAATTTGAACTCTAATAACCACTTCACACTAACACTTACCTCATTTCCATAACTTCTACATTAAAGTTATTTGAAAGTTACCAAAAGATATCGAAGACAACCACTTCTCACTAACAGGAAACTGTTAGTGTGAAGTGGTTACCAGAGTTCAAATTTCTTAGGACATTTTCATGCATATTTTGAAGACATTCAATTATTGCCATTTTATTTTATCACTATTACTTACATAATTAAAAAAATGCCAATAAATACTGTTTAATGATTATTTGTTTTAAACAATTATATGCTTTTCTGGTTACTTTCATTTTTAAAACTTTGTAGTTAATCAAAAAGAAATGATGAAAAATTATTTAGCAAAAACTAGTTTTTAAAAAATTACCTCTTTAGAAAACTATATAAACTTCTTCATAAGAACAGGCAGTTAATGAAAATGTATATCTAAATGTTTCCTTACCAAACTTAAAGAGTCATTATGAAAGCTATCTTCATTTTTCTTGAGTTCATTTCCAAAAGATGAGTCTTTTCAGTTTTTGATCATGTATAAATTTATATTTCATAATTTACTGTGTTTTAGGTCATTTAAATTTAAAACATTTTGACACTTAAGTGCAAAAATAGTAAATTTTCGATAATTCTTGTTCTTATCTTTAAGCTTTGTTGTGCATCTTGTTGTGCATCTTTATATGTTTGTTTTCAAAGGATGACTGCTAGATATTGATTAATATCACACTAAGAACACCTAATTTAACTTAAAAACAAGCAAAACTCAAGTGAGTGGTGCTCTTGCTGGTTTATAGATTGAGTTAGGTGTTCTTAATGTTTGTTTTCCATTGATTATCTTTTAATTAATTCATTTGACATATACCAAGTATTTTATTGAATAAAGTTGAAGGTCTGTGTTAATCATCATTAAAATCTCTCTCTCTCTCTCTCTCTCTAACACACATTTTTTAAACATTTGAAAAATAATACCAGTAATTGTAAATGGATAAGGTTCATAAATTGCATTGTTTAAAATTGTTCATTTAAAAGCTCATTTTCAAAAACTAAAAGATGTTCAAAATATATATGTAAACTGAAAGAAATAATAATAAATGTTTTCTGTTAAATTTATTTAATGCTTTCTAATCAAAATAATTATAATTGAAAATGTAGTAATATTTATGTCTGTTTGTTTCAAACCTTTCTGAATGATTTGTGCTTTTGATTTTTTGATTTACATAATAATACAAAGGAGAATCAATAAATAAGGTAACAAGTGAACTGAATGTATTTTTGTTAGTATAAATGTGAATCTACAGCTATACATACATAGGTAAGAACACTATGTTTCTGTATAATCAAATTTGTCCAATACTTGTTCCACGGGGTAATTAATGCATCCATTCTGTCGGAAAATAATTTTGTGTCATGCAAAATTCTAGCCAGGCAATGACTGCCTGTTGCATACTCTCTACAGTCAGAAATCATTGTCCACAGAGATGCTTTTTCTTGGGCCCAAAGAGATGAAAGTTATGGGAGCCAGATCTGAACTATAGAGTATTCTAAAATCTCTCAATATATATCATCAATATGAGACCAGTTTCTTAAGACAATATGCATTTTTGTATTGCTGTGCAAGAGAATGACACCATCTTGTAGTTCTCTGGTCTCCGTACCTCAGTAACAGCAACAGATTCAAGGTATAAGTGTTAGTCATCTTCCTCTATTGTAGAGACCTTGTGACCTTATTTATTGATCCTTCATTGTATAATAAATTTTTAAATCATTATCTGTAATAACTAACTTTATTTTGAATTATAATTTTTTATTCTGAATAAATCTGTATGAAAGTTATGATAATGAAAGCAATGGTTTAATTTAAATTTATAATTAAGACATTTTTTAATGCAATCTTCATACAAATTTGAATCTTTTTCTATTGTATTAACTAAATTATTTATATTTCTATAACTATATAATAATTATAATTCAATAATGTTTTAAAAAATTATGTTTACATATATAATTTAAATATTTTTTGTAATAAATGATTTAATTTCAAATTACTAAATCTTTTTCAAGTAATTAATAATATGCCCTATAGTTATTTGTTGGAGTATTGCATTATGCCATTTAATTTAATTGAATTGAATAAATCAAGTGTCATAATATATGTAATTAAAGCATGAAATTATTAATAATTAATTTGTAATATTTTAATGATATTAATTAATTTAACACCATTTTTTAAACAGTTATTTTGTGAAATAAATTTAATAACTCTGATCAAATTCCCAATAGAAGCAACTTTTTTCGCATTAAGATAACCTAATATCCCAATTACCAACTTATTTATTTACGAAATTATCATCACGTAATGAATAAATCAATTAGAGTAAATCTGGCGTAGATTATTACATTAGTAATTAGCGTACTTTGTAATTCATCAAAATCCGTGCTGCCATCTGTTGAATATTTTCATAAATATATTTAAAATTTAGTTTTTAAGAAATGATAAAATAACTAATATACATAGAAATATGTATAGTTTTATTAATTATTCACAAATTAATCATTACAATAAAGTTATCTCTTACTAGAAACAAGTACAGTAAGAGGACATAAGAATATAATTTCCCTTCAATTAATTTCAAATTATTTATTCTTAATTTTAACTGATGTATTGCAACTTTTAAGCGAGCACCTTTATCGGGAAGGATGGCGACATTACTGCTAACCTACTTGCTAGTCTACAATAGCAGTAATGTCGCCATCCTTTCCGATAAAGGTGCTCGCTTAAAAGTCGCAATAGATAAGTTAGAATTAAGAATATAATTATAAATTGATTTGGTTAAATTTATTATTTTTTTTCTAGGTGTTAGAATTATTCACTACAATAAGAGAGATGACTAAAGAATTAGTCCAGCAACATAATATTGTAGCACCTCTGTGTAGGCAAACTAGTAATCTTGCTCTCGACACTATTCTTTGTAATTCTCAGCAGTACGAAGTATTATATGTTGGAAAAATAAAGGTAAGTGTTGAAAAATATGTAAGTTACAGCATTTATTAAGTTACGTATTTATATACACAAATAAATTAAAAATGCATATGTAATTATTAGATAAGGTAATATAGTATTATACACCGACACCTAAAAGAACAAATAAACTGTTGGGTGTCAGTGTATAGTATTTGTAGTTAATATCAGTTTTAGTGTTGATTGAGCCAATATATATTTTATAGAGAGAAAAAAAATTAATTTTATACACTTTTCTTTTGTATTAAATTCATTGACCTAATTAATATTCCATATTACACATTTCAAATTAATTTATTATGGATAAATTATTGAATGTTATGCAGTGATTTTTGTTGCTTGTATGAAGCTGGGATAGAGTGGGCCCTTTTGCCATTTTTCTGTATTTTTGGGACAAATTAAATATGTTATATTCTGTTATTAAAAATAACATTAATTTATAGAAATAGGAACAGCTATGGACTAACCAATTTTCTCTGAGCCTGCAGATAAATTCTTAGCTCTTCCTCTCTCAATGAGGACCTGATGCATTAAAATTAAAAATACAGAATTTAAGAACATGTTTCAAATATACATTTTCATTTCCTGTATTTGAAAGTTTCTACATAGAAAGAAATAATGTAGAATAAATAATCCAAACATTTAAATGTGTGCCTAAGAATAATAATAAGAATATATATAAAGAAATATTGTATACGAGTATTTGATTGTATATACATGTTAAGAGATGCATGTAGTGTGACTAAAAGGTTCAGTGAATGTTAGAATAAAAATTACAAAACAGAAGATACATAGGAATTATTATTGGCCTTTAAAGTACTCTCCATGAGAGATTTTGCACTTTTCAGCATGTTCATAAACCTTCTGGAAACAGTTGAAAAGGTCTTGTTTGGGAAATGCCATAAGAACTGTTGTCACATGGGCTCGAATCTCAGAGACACTAACAAAATGTTATTCCTTAATGACCTCTTTGACACAAAGAAACAAATACAAGTCCACAGGCACAAGATCACTTTGTCAACATTTCGTGTCTCTGTCACCATTTTTCTCAATGTGAAGCATAACTTCATGTTGTACCATTGTTCCATTGCTTAATGATACAACATCTCATACAGACTGTTCTTGAATGACTGTGGTGGAATCTCTCTGGCTTGAAATACACGTGGCTACATCACATGCATTTCAAGCCAGAAGATGATTCTAAACATGTCCTTGGAAGTCTGTGTGCTTGCTCAACCATTGTGGCATGCATTGCATTCAAGATAGCCTAACATCCACTGAACTTTATAAACACACCACATATTATATTAAAGCATCATAAAATAATCACTGTCTGAAAAAAAAAAAATATGGCTAAAATAAAAGCTACTTTATTTTATGGTATGGATAATAAAATTATATAATTAAATAGGAAGACTAGAACAGTTTCTATCCAAAACAAGTATGATTTATTAAGTGATAATGCAAGTGTGAGTGGAAATACTCAAAAATAGACAACTGTAAGCATTTTAGAGATAATTTTCATTTTTTTAAGATGTAAATGACCATTCAGTTTTCTAAGGTTAAGGAAGAAGTATTGTAGACAAGTGAAGAAACTTGGAAGACTCCACGTGGTTGCTATTGGTGAGATGCATACCCACAACTATCAAGATTCAATGGTGGTATCCATTCAGACTTACATTTTTGCATGCTCATAAAATCAATAATTATTATCATATTTATCTAGCTTTGAATTATATAACTTTTAAGATTAAAAAGTAACTCAGAGGACAATGATTTCAATTAGAATCTGATCTGAATAACTGAATTATTTCTTCCCAAAAAAAGTTTTTGACTCAGATAATCAAGAATCCTAAAATGCTTGCTACCAGGGATTTCATTTAACTTTAATTATAAATTTGATCTGAATATTTTTATTATAATTTGAGAAAATGACAATAATAATCAATAAAGTAAATAAAGAATAAAAACTGTGAAAGAGCAAGTTATTAATATTAAATAAGGTAAGAGAGAACTTTTACAGCCTATCAAATTACATAAATATGATAAAGGCTTTTTACATACAAAGTATATTTCCTAGAATTCTTTTGACTTGATAATTTGAGTTTTTTTTATTTTGTTTAATTGCACAAAGAACAATAGAATGGTTTTTAAACAATTCTTTTAATTTTATTTACGTGTATAATTTCCTTTTATCATAATGTGATGTTTTGCTTGTATTGTTAATGCAATAGACTTTATATATAAGTAATATAGTTTAATACATAGTTACAGTGACTAAATTTTATATTTATCCTTCACAATATAAATCATGTAATCTTGATTTGCAAATGTCTATGTCAACTGGCTCTGTATTCATTTTATATTGCCCAGATGATTGCATGAAAACAACCAAGAGTGTCATGATTTAATAGAAGAATTCTTGGTTTAATCACTTTCAAAGCAGATTCTGTTCTGTTTCATGAAAGGTTTCCTTTCTCTCTCTCTATTTAAGCAGATGGAAAACTGGATAGTCGAAAATAAATCAATAAACTAATAAAAACGTTTTCAAACAGATTTTACTGATCATCTTCAGTTGCCAATTATTCAAATTCTTTAGAATGTACAGTATAATTACAAATTCAAAATAACCAAGTCGTAAATGAAAATTTTAAGATAATAATTAAAATGTAATTATTAATAAATACAAAATTAAATTTTTTAAAATGAATTAAATTAATAAATATCAAATATTTTAAAAATTCGTAAGATGTAATTCTTAATTAAATGTTCATAAATTATATTTCGTAATATGCCCGCCAGGCATTTGATAGGTTTTCCGCATCCCAATGATTGATGCAGTGTGACTTTTTTGTATGCTTTTTACATTTCCAATTTTTCTACAAATCCAATGTTGTGTAAGTTAGAATTGGGCCTAATGATTTTGGCTTGATTCCATTGAATGTGCATGTCATTATTCTGTGAATAAGCTGCCAGCACCATGTTACTGGGGTTTTCCTAGGCATCTATTTATGTTCCTCGATCCTCTGCTGTAAATTACAAAGTGTAGCTCCTATGAATGTACTAACCTTGAATCAAAATGCTGGTCATCCCAGTGGCTGAGTCCCGGTCATATAGTTTTTTATCATTTCGCAGTATCTTAAAAATTATCGGGTTATGTCGACATACCAAAGATACTTCACCATTATGAGCTGCTTTCCTCTGGATGTTGAGGAAGGTGGGGATTATTATTTAAGACTACCCTTAAAGGTTATAAAACAATTGATTGACACTTTCCTTACACCAAAAGCAGTAACACCAGCATTAAACGGGAGGCAAAGGGTGGTCTTAAATTATAACCCCACCTTCCTTAACATCCAGAGGAAAGCAGCTCGTGGTGACAAAGTATCTTTGGTTTGGTATCTGTTTATTAGTTAAGATTATAATAATTTATATCTGAATTAGTCAAACTAAATTTTAAAATTAAATATTATCTATAAATTATTTTTTTAGTTTAATATTGATGATTTATTTTTATTTATATTCTGTATATAAAATATACATGGCAATATCCAATGAGCAGAATAAGTCACCTCCCACATTAATGAGGTGACTTATTCTGCTCATTGGATATTGCCATAGTATTAAATATTAATTGGTCGTTTCTTCTCATCCTTGGAAGTNAACAACGGTTATGATAGATGATATATGATATATCGAGTGTCATTGAAATATTATATATTTAAGGATAATTATAAGTTTATATCTATTTTCATTTTGTAAATTTCTGAAATAATATAATTTTTGTACGGATAATTTATAGAAATGTTTATCAAAACAGTTGAATAATCTGTAAATTTGTTAAAATTAATCAATGCTAAAATTATGCTTATCATCAATAAATCTATTTTTCTCATTTTTATCAGGAAAATAAATTAAATCATTCATAAAAATTTTCTGGATGATTAATAAATAAACTATAAATATGGATTAATTTTTGTTTATTTAAATATTTAAATTTTCTTTTATTGCATAAGTAATTTCTGTTGTGGGCAAAATTTTGTGGGCGTGTAGTATTTACTTGTACTTAAACTCTACCAAAGCTGCAGGACCCAGTATTCAGGCATTCTTGAGAAACTCACGATTAAAGTTTTTCTAAAACTATTAATATCTATGCAGAAACATCACTCTGGTGTTCGTGGTGTGGTGTGATTAGTTAAGGAATTGCATGAAGAGCATTAATATGCTGGTTTGATTCTCATATATTTTTTTTTACATTTATAATTTAATCTTATTGTTATTAAATTTGTTATATACAGTTTTTAATGTCATCAAAAATTTACTTTTTTTATTTTGATTACTCCATATTTAGAAAGTACATATAACATTATAATCACATTTTGTATTGTTTAATGTAACGTAGGTTTTTACCATATAATATACATATCAATACATTTATATTACATTTTATATGTAAGGATAGGAAGATATAATAAGAAACTCAACACTATCTGTACTCTGTCCAGCAAAAAATATATTATATATACTGTACTGTATATAATATTTTAGTAGGTAGACATGCCTATTCTAATCAGGAAAGAAAACTTGACAATTCTTTCTACCTGGATGCTTCAATTTTACCAGAGAGGTAAGGGCACAGCTAGAGTCCCTTTGATGTAGAAAGGGAAGTGATCAAAGTTGACAGCTAGGATTCTCTCTTTTCATTTGCCAGTGACCCCAATGATATGGGATTCAAACCTCATATTAATGCTCTTCATGCAATGCCTTAACTAATCACACCATACCATGAACACCCGAGTGGTGCTTCTGCATAGATATTAATAGTTCTAGAAAAACTATAATCGTGAGTTTCTCGAGAATGCTCGAATACTGGGTCCTACGGCTTTGGTAGAAGTTAAGTACGAGTAAATACTACACATCCAGAAAATTTTGTCAAAATTGGTGATGACAATCTCCCAGGTTTCCCCTGTAATTGTCAGATCTCAAGATTTGGGTAATTTAGAGAGGAAATAAATGATTTGAAAGTATTAATTGCTGAACTTATTTATGCTACAATTCGTCTAAAGGCAGCTAGCTCCACACAGTTGGTATTTGCCAATTGTCAAATAATTGCCTATTTGTCCTCTTTGATTTGACACATTATACTGACAAGTGGAAAATGGCAAATATCAAGTAATAGTTATATGTAAATCATTCACACAATTTGATATTGACCAAATGTTTACTCAACATTTGGTCATTATCAAGTTGTACAAATACAAAACATGTGGATCTTCATTAAGAGAACCAAAATTCTAGAAACATTTGCTTTCATAAATCAGTTCCATATTATAAAAATAATAAAAAAAAATGATTGTTTATTTTATTGGTTGAGTATCTCTTAACAAAAATTACTACTATTATTAATTGAAATAAAATATATTATTATATATCTGTTTTTCAAATTTTGGTAAAATTCAGTTTTAACAATTTTTAATAAAAATGATATGAAACTTTGTACTATAATGTTGATTAAACTAAAATTATTTAAGGTTATCAGAATTGTTGAATACAAAACATTTTCACTTTCAATTTGGATCATCCTTGGTGCATATTTAAAATACAGGGTATCTCTAAAAGAATCATTGGATTTCAAGTGATCACATTTCAGAAACTTATCAATAGAGAATGGCTAGTGCTACACCAAACAGAAGGAAAAGCATACAAGATTTTGTCCCTTTATTTTATATATGTTATTGAGCTTCCTCAATAATCCAGTTTCTCCCACACTTGATGTAGTATATCTGCTCTCATAACAGTACAGCATTTATAATGCATATCTTAAGCTTTTGCAAGTTTGTGGCATTGGCAACACATACACACAATCTTTTACATGGCTCAGAGGACTCACAAGTAATTATAAGGTGACTTGAGAGGTCACCTCTCATTGAGTCCACTGTGTCCAATTGATGGTGTATGAGAGCACTTCATTTCATTATATTCATTATCCAAATGCCACCTGTATGAAACTTGGAGAATCTTTGCTTCCAACAGTATTATAGAATGAATGTTAATGGAAAGAGAACTATAATCATATGAAATCTGGCACTTCTTGTAGAGATACTCTTGTGATATATATTATGGAGGTTTGGGACATTGATGATATGTGATGAGTCAGTCTGTTCCACTGCTAGTCTGCCTGTTCTCTTACACATTTTTTCTTCTCAGCACCCCTTACCTTGCTTCAATAAATTATCCCATATAATTTATTTTCAAATAATTACATTTCCTCTCCTCTTGATGACTCCTTACCTGATGCCCAAGGGTACAAGCCCATCCTTGATCATAATTGTGCTGATGAGTATATTCTCTTATGTGACAGACTAAGTGGAGAAGAAAAATATCTTGTATGTCTGAGTCAGATCATTCGCGAAAAGTTCCAGAGTTCTAATCAAGGTAAAAACTCAAAGTGGAGTAGCAGGTAGAGGTCTTCACCATCTCTGCATCTAGTTAGCAATTCATTTGTAATTTTAGAAAAGATGATGTTTTATAAATTAAAGAAGTTTATTTGAAAACTTCTAAAAACATTACTTATCAAAAAAAATATTATAAACTGTAAAAATAAATATGTTAATTAAGTTAATTATTAATTAAAATACTATTAACTAGTAGAATTTTTATTAATTTAAAGAGTACATTACTTCAGTTAAAAATATCATTAAAAATTTTTTTAAGGTTTCACACAAGAGAGCCCCTCCGACATTTATCGATGAAGCAGTCGAAAAATTTNCAGCAGAGAAAGTTGGAACCATCATGGTGGATCACTTTGAAATTGTCATTCACAGACAATTCAATGTGATCCACCATGTAAGGCAAGCATTCTTGTTGCACAGTGGTGAATGATTAGACAAATTTTATTATTTATTTTACTTTTAAATACCCTGTTGTTGTTTTTTTTGTTATTTATTGTTTTATTATTGTTGAGTTTATATTTAATATCATATAAAATTTAATAGCTTACTTTAAAGATAATCTGAGAAGATCTTAGTAATTCTTGTTTTAATATTAATTTACAAATTAATATTAAATGAATTTTTTAGAACTGTTATGATTAAATTCTATTTTTTAAGAAACTTTTTAACAGTTTTGAGGATAAAATTATTGCATAAATAATTAATAGCATTGAATTTTGTTTTGAAGGGTTCTGATATAGAAAATATGCAAGAAAGAAATGAAGTATTTATGATGTTAATTCGGAGGTTATGTGAACAGAAGCAATCAAGTCATACTCATGTTTCTAATGGCAGTCATCCAACAAAAGTAGATGTAAGTATTAATATATACATTTTTAAAGAACTATTACTGAATAATAGATAAATAATAATTAAATATGTATTCTTCAATCACTCTCTTTTTCTTGTATTATTTAATAAATTAATGTGATAGTTTATTTAAAAGAAACCACACTCCAATTACATTATATATATTTTTTTTATATTCTGGACATCTTTTTTCTCTTCTTCAGTCCCTAGTAGAATTTTTATTAATTTAAAGAGTACATTACTTCAGTTAAAAATATCATTAAAAATTTTTTTAAGGTTTCACACAAGAGAGCCCCTCCGACATTTATCGATGAAGCAGTCGAAAAATTTAAAATATTTAAGGCTCAACAACAAGAAGGAAGGCAAAGACATGGAAGTGGAGCAAGCATTTCTAGTTTGTCTCATAATCTTGATATGAGTGAAAAAACCAAAGAAGAAGAATTAGGTCATGCCAATTTAATGAATAATAACAACAAAGAAAATAGAGAAACAAATAGTTTGTCAGAAAATGTCTTAAAATCCAGCGAAGAATCTTTAAATAAGGTTACTGCTAACATTTATTTTTTTCATTTGTAATTGCATTACTAAAATCAGAAAATATTGTAAATTAAAATATTTGAATTTTCAGGATGATAATAGTGACCATAGTGAATATGTAAAATCTCCCATTACACCGACAGAACAATTTGGAAATATCTTGAATTCGGAACATTCTTTGATAACTCATTCGCAAAGCATAGATAATCCAGTTCGTTCTTCATTTATTCACGATTTAAAAGAACTCGCAGTTTTAAATTCAAACTCTCATATGTTACAACCACCGACAGCTAACTCACTTATTACTCACACACAAAGTTTGGATACTCCAAGTAGAACTATGCTAGTAAACGATCTTCACGACACTATCATTCATTCTAACAGAGTTAGATCGTGCAGTGGAGATGTTCCGAGACCTTCCAAGCAAACTTCGTTGCCAGTTTATCGAAGCAGAGTAAATAGTGGCGAGAGTTCGGATACGCGCCGTTCTCGAGCGGAAACGTTGCCCATTATATCAAATTCTCGCCAGCCACTTAATCGAACCATGCTCTTTCTAATAGGGCGATCAGAATTATGCTTGATTGGCATGGATAAGAAACAAGCATTACTTAGTAAAACATTTAATGACATTTCTCATTGTTCTCAGGTAATATAATCTAATATAAGTGATTACTTTAATGAAATTAATTTATAATTTGTTGATGTCAATTTTTTTAGGGTATTAAAAATCCCGATAATTTTGGATTCATCTGTAGAGAAGGAACGATGACTTCAGTAGATTGCTATGTTGGTTACGTATTTAAAGGACAAACCGAGAAATTGGTAAGCTAGAGATGATTTTGATACCAGTTTTCATGTAGGAAAATAAATTACAAAGCATTTTAAGAAACTTTTATACAGTAATTTCATTTTGTAATCCTTGGGATATCTTACATAACATGAATTTGGAATACACTTTTCTCTTACTGAAGTGAATAAGTTGCTTTTAAGTAGCGCAGGTTCGAAAAATTAATAAAAATGAAGTTTTACACACAATATTGCAGTTTCTCCTACAGCAAATGCTAGAATGTCTCCCAGGGANATAATTAGCCTTATACTAGCCCAATAAATTTTCGGCATTCGGTTGGTGTGTAGCTATATTCTGTAATGTCTGAATGGTTTCTTATGTTGAATTCTGGAATTCTGTAGAAAGATTTTCTCTTCTTATAAAGTGTACTATAAATCATAACATACTAAATTATAAAATATCAAAATAATATACATTAATAATGTATTTTATTTTAAATTACTTAAGATGTATCAAATTTAAATATCTAAAAAATTTTTATCATAACTTAAGATTATTTGTTTAAATAATAATACTGAATCCATTGTAAATTTGACAAAGTTTTAGCCTTGAAATAATTTTCATTCACGAATATTCAGATAAAACATTATTTTATCCTCCTTTAGATTCAGGTAGATAAAAATTAAAAATATCTGAGCTTGATTAAAAGATAAAATAACATTAAAAAAAGAAGACATAGAACACTGATAAGATAGCTCATAGAATATAACATTAAGAAATGTTCAATTCTGTTCATTTTTAAATATTGATTACATAATGTAAGTTTATATTTTCAAAAATTAATTACACTGTTTTGCTTTTATCTTTGTTTTATTACATTTAAACAAATTACTGTATTCAATCAGTAAGTAATTCAATTATAAATATAAAAGTATCCAAGTAAATCACATTGTTTATCAAAATATGATAAAGAATCTGACTTACTTCAATTGTTTAAATGATAACTGTAAATTGTCTAAAGTCCAGTAAATATTATTAAGTAATATTTGAGAATAAAAACTGTTGTTAAATACGTTTTAAATCTTTCTACTTGTCTTTGAAACTTGATTGTTTGATAAGTTGTGAAAGACATATACTTTGAAAAAAATTAATATAATAAAAATGTGATTTGTTAAATTATAATGAAAATTTTAGAATGTAATTTTAATGTTAGGATAAATCAATAAATAACCAGCCAAAAGCAACAGCGTGCCTAGTTGCATAGGCTGAATATTTATTTGATCTATCCTTATACTTATAAATCCTGGTATGGAGATTTTTAATTGGAGAAAATTGTACAATATTACAAAATTTAAGAAATATGATTTTAGATTGTGTTTAGAAGTACATGATCATCATTATTGTCATCAATAATAATTCTTAGAAAACAACCATGTGAAACATTTTGTGAAATGAAGAAAATTAAATGAAAAACAGAATTTCTGTTAAAAGTTTATAAAATATTAATAATTTTTAAATTATTTTAAAAATTTTTATTTCTTATTCTTAATTTCATTTTTGTTTTATGAAGAAAGTTCCTTCGAAGCTCGATAGTTTTCGTCAAAAAGCAAAGAAGTCACTCCACAGTTCTTTTGAAACTATTTTAAAGGTAAACATAGAATATAACATATAAATTTTTATTGTATAAAGTTCAAATAATTAATGCCATTTTTCATTGTGATTAATTATTAATATTAAATCATAATGCATGGTTTTATCACTAATATTACTACTAATTATGACCTTTATTAGAGAAAGGGAAGGGACGAATATCGAGAAAGAGCCGCAACATTGGATGTTGATATAAGTCAAGTAAGCCTCCTAATTACATTTATGGACTCCTTTGTTTCTCAATAATTTGCTTTAAATGTTACACAATAATATATAATTAATTTTTGTCAAAGTTTTAACTGTAATTTTTTAACAAATGATAAATATTTATTTAGAAATATAATTGAAGTAAAATATTTTAAATAATTTTTCGACGAAACACATTTTTTGAATGCCACTGAGACATTTCAAGCTGTTACATGATTGAAATTACTGAAATTTTTATACAGGGTGGTCTAAATAATAATCATAATACCTGAGATCATCAAATTTATTCATTACAATAATCTCTCTGCATAAATAACATAAAAGTAGACTTTTCATATTAATGTTTCTTCTATTTTTTGTGAATTTTAAAATATACTTATTATCCTGACTTATTATCAACAATACCTTGTTAATTGTGTCACCATCAGAAGGTAATTTTTTTTAACATGTTTCACGTATAGAGGCCTTACAATAAAGGTCAATGTTGCTGTGACACTATTACATTTCTGAGCTATAGAATAGGATGAATACAAAGAAACTTATAATTCACTTTACTTTTTCTTCTATTTTGTTTTGAAATTTTAAGTTTACTTATCCTTTTGGCTTTTTATCAACAGTAGACTTTTTCTATATTTACTAAGCTTTAATTATGTTAATATTTCAGCATACTTATTACCTTATACATTTTTGAGTGAATAGAATTTACTTTTTTAACTTAAATACAAATTAATAATTGAAATTATTAATTTGTATTTAAGTTAAAATACCAATTAATCTGTGCATACATATTTGTTCCATCTTCCTGGTAGCATTTTTATTTCTTTTGCAAATAAAAGTTTGAGGACATTGTCACGGTCATAGTCCCACAGCTGCTTCAACTTTTTTTTTGATGCAGAATTTCTGGCCTCCAAAATGCTCTTTTATGGGTCTAAAGATGTGATAATCACAGGATGAAAGATCAAGACCATACAGTAGGTGATCCAGAATTTCCCAATCAAGATATGTCAATGTTTAAACAGTGGATGGCAAACATACTGTCATGAAACAGCACATCACCTGTCACATTGCTTACTGCTCAGGATAAGTTTAACTTTTGTTTCTTGTGAATTCCAGTAATATTGGAAATTGAATATTATTTTCTATGTTTAGTCCCTTGAAAGAGCATTTGTGAGACAGCAGCTGTGGCAAAGTCTCCAAATATTTTTGCCAACATTATTCCCTATACAAAAAAGTTTGGTATAGTTGTTACCAGGAAGGTGGAACAAATGTATATGTGCAGCTGGGGAGATTATTTTGAGAAATGAATCTAGTTTCATCCTTGTGAATAAATGTTTTTATTTTATGAAGAAAACTCCATGTTAATTTTCATCATCTCTTCTACTTCATAAAAAATACAAATATATTATTTCATTAATCTTTAGTATTCAAATTTGTAATTATTAATTTTTATGTAATATTATATAACACGCATATTCATTATTATTAATAATAATTATAAGCTTGTTATGTTGAAAAAATATTTTGAGGAAGATTCATTTATGTATTCATCATCATCCTCGTTTGCCTATTATCAAATTGAGTCCTCTGTGACTTTGGAAACTTTTTCCAAGAATCCATCCCTTGATTATAAAGTGATTTGTCTATTTGTTTGGAGTCCAGAGTTTTTCTTCACTGTCTGCAGCCATTCGATCTCGAGTCTTTCTCTTTTTTTCTATATCCAATCCAGGCAAACAGTGCAGCTACTAGAAGTCTCTGGAATGTCATTCTTTCCACATATCCATACCATTTCAATTGTCTTTTGTGGATTTTATTTATGGAAGAGTAAATATTTCAGCTCCAGTCTTTTTAGTTTGTTTTTTATCAGCTCACTTGGTATTGCTCATTTTCCTTAAATATTATATATCAAAGGCTTCCAGCTTTTTGACTTCTTGTTTCTTAATTATCAGAGCCATAAATTCTATTTGGAATTTTGATACTGTCAAGTAACTTTAGTTTTAACACTCAAGTTATCGTAATCTGTGGTTAACTGGCTGTAAGGTGTTCAGATTTTCCATCATTAATATACTCAAATAATTGAATTTTTTTTATTTGCTTGATTTTATCTCCATTAAGTGAAATGTTGATATCATCAGTAGTTTTTCCAGTTATCATTACTATTTTTTATTGATATTTAGAGTCAGATTGAAAGTTCTTTACTGTTTTTTTGCGTTTAGAAGTTAAGTTCATAGTGTTTTATATTGCATCTGCTAATAGGATATCATCTGCAATTGATATACAGGGTGTCTAGAAAAGTTACTATCCAGTGGAGAAGAATTAATGGAGTGGAGAAGCATGTTCTGGATCTCAAGAACTTTTTGAGGTTGAGGGCCTAACAGTTTGTGGTGTTAGTTAGCATCTGTTTTGGAAAACTTGACTATCAAATTTTGCATGTATCATAATGGTGCACCTGTTTATTTAGAAATTGCTTTGTTACCCAATATCTGTGAATTTCCCATCATACAGAATATTCCACCATGAATATTTGCTACTCAATCGTCAACACCATTATCACTCAAACAATACAGACTTGCAATCTCACTCTGTCAACTTTGTCCAGGTGAATGTGAATAGGCATTCCAGGTAATCTGTGAGCAAACAGTAATGCCATCTACCACAAAGTGGAAATGCAGGACATACAACTTATGGGTCTCATATGCAATACCATATGTATAACTTTAATGTCAATGCAAATTTCTCACTGTAAACAGTAACTTTAATTTTTTTTATTTTACACAAGCCCTTGTTTTACTGTTCCTGCATTATATATAAACTGAATTTAATATTATACACTAAAACTTGAGACTGAATTGAAGTTTATGGTGATTTTTACCATCCCTGCAATGTAAAATGGTGCTAGGAAAGACCAGTAGAGAAAGAGGAATGGGGGGAAAAAAGGTCATTCTCTTCTATTCATTCATTGCATCCTACTAACTGATTTGTCTTCACACTTCATACTCTAGATAAAATTGTATTAATCTATTTTTAAGGAAATACAATTGAATGAAAATTTATAAAGCAATAAACTTTTGTTTGTACTGTATGTGCTTTTATGCATTGTAGTTTTGTTTTCAGGCTTTTGTCCTACAGGATTTTGCAACTTAGCTATTCTAATTTAATTTATTAAACTAGTGAATGCTTAATAAACGAATAGATTAACTTAATGTTATCTTTATATAAATGTTAATGATATATTAATAATTAATTACAGAAATATCTGAAACTAATATAAACGTAAACACAAATAACTTAACTGAAATTGTATTAACAAATGCGATTGGTTCAAAATTTCTAATGATTATAAAAACCATAAACAATTATTATTTTTATTATTATCATTTTATTTATTTATTTTTTAATAAGTTTTGATAGAAATATAAATTAATAGGTAGTATTGAATTGTTTATCATTTGTTATCTTCTAAAACAAATATCATGTAAATTAAACATATTTAATCTGTAGCCTAAATCTATGCATAAAGTAGCCCTGTTCTTCCTTGTTTTGCTGTTGTGTTCTATGGTGACTTGTATGGTTTACTTGATTGATATATTTAATCAGTCATTTACAATAATATAATATTTGAAGTTTTTGTATTTGATTAGCTTTTGTGATATGTTTTCAGTGCATTAAAGGTCAGGAAAATTTTCAGAAAGTTCTATTGTATTCTTATTTACATTTTAATATAAGTATTATAAACAAATGTTATAATGATCCAGTTTTATTCTGATTTGTTTAGCACTCAGCATATATTCAGGAACACATCCTGAGAGTATGAGAGTATCTTTTTGTGAGGTTTGCTGATTGAATGAAAAGTGTCACGGCAATCGAACGGTCAGCACTGTCGTGTGGGAGTGGGAAAACTCACTGAGACAGGTCCTCCATCGTAAACTGTTTAATAAATATAAAAATTTCTCTTACAACATATCCTTAAAAAGGCATAACACCTATTCGAAGTCAAGAAACAAGTCTGTAACACAAAAATTTCAACTGTTCTGACAATAGTTTTTCTTCTGGTGATGGTGGCGTGAAGACGTCAACTCTGGGGTGCACAACACTACTTGGACCGAGGTCTTCTAGCTACAAGGTGGATTTTAGTGATCTTGATGGCACAGGAGGGTGAAGACAAATCCTCCGAATATCTAACAAGCTCTCGTAGGAGAATGTCCGGATGACAAGAATCTTGGAGAGGAGCACTGCAAACTAAGGACCAAGAACTAAGAACCAAGATTGCCACATCTTTTTTTCATGCGGTTTTTATAAGTTTTCTCTTGGTCCCAGATCGAACATTCCGATAGGTTGATGCCGATTTGCCCACGCTTTCTGATTGGTTTTTTACTCATTATGAAACATAACAAGATCAGAACCCAGACTGACTGACAATTCGATTCCCATCAAAGATGTTCGATCTAAGCACTCAAATTCATGTATTGTTTTAATCTGAGTAGTTTGATTTTCTTAGAAATTTCTATAGACATGTCCTTATATGGATATAAAATATTCATTTTTCGTTTGATGGTTTCTTTTAAACAACATTATAATAATTTGAAGTTTAGACTATTTACAAAAAGTCATAATTAACTTTTGAGTCCATCATTATCCTTTATACACTACCATAGAAGTAACAGTTAAGTTACAGAGAATAAGTTAAGTTACCATAGAAGTTACAGAGAAAGGCTGACACTTGATCTTTTTTAACCTTGGAATTTTTTTACCAATTTTTACCAATGTTTTAAGAAGAGTTCTTCAAAGCAAAATTTTTNTGAGGTCAGGAGACCTAGCTGTCTGGATTTCATGGGACATTATGCGATCGGCAAAGAAGTGTCCCAAAAATGTAGCCCAAACACCAGAACCTCTGTGAGCAAGTAGTAGTGCCATCTACTGCAAATTGGAAATGCAGGACATACAACTTATGGGTCTCATATGTGATGTTGTACATATAACTTTAATGCTATTACAAATTTCTCATTGTATAGTAACTTTTCAGACAATCTATATCAACATTGAATGCTTGGTACTATTTAATTTTTTGATATTTTATGTAGTCTTGTTTGGAGTCAAGAATATAGGAAAAGACTGCAAGAGCATATTGTATGACATAGCAATGATGAAAAGCAAAGAGATTCTTCTTTGTTTTTCTGATAACAATTGTATAAAATTAAAGCTTAACTTAATTAAAATAAAAGAATAACTTAATTTTGATAGTTGTTACATTGAAGTAATTGCAGTCCATGTTTAATGAAATGATTCTTCTAGTTCTTCTTAAAGCCCAATGCAAAAGTTGTTCTTTTTGGAAGACTGCATGTTTTAGAATAGCATTTTTGCTTGTTTTTTATTATATGTGTTTATTATTCATTCATGACAACAGATGAAGGTTGTATAAGTAGAAACAAACTTATTCAAGGAACATGATTGTTGTGAATCAATTGGTTTATTAGTTGGTCTAAATCATATATGTTCTATTCCTTCAGACAAAATCCTGTAAGTGACTTTGATACATATGAATAATATTGACTTACAAATATGGATTAGTGATCAAAGACAAGGCATTATTCATGCTCTAGAGATGAATTTTATAGATGAATTTCCTGAAATGATATATGTAGAGATAACTTTAAATTAAATGAAAATGGAGACAATAGATGGAAGCTAATAAGCTATGACTTAATAGACTATAATGATAAAATTAGTCTTGATGCTAGATAAGATGTAAAGGTTTCTTTTTAAACACTTATATACAATTATAAAAGCCTTAAAAAAATATATTTTGACAACTGCTAGATTTATTATTTGATGCATTCATTCAGGAATATTGAATAAACTTTGGCAAACAGAACACTGCATTAAGTTTTCAAAGTATTTGACAGTAATGACATACATTGTTCCTTTATCTGCAAATGTCTGCTATAAAGATAGCTTGTTGAGATTGAATTTAGCATGTGCCATCTTCATCTTTTTCTTTTTCTACGTTTATTTATACATACTTTTCAGGCTTTTCATTGTCTTATTGGTCATAGCTTTAATAAGTAAGAAAGGAAATACAATGTATTATTCTACCACCTCAGGGCATAAGGCCCTATTTCCTAAATGCTTTAAAATCAAGTTGTGCACTTGGATATGAGTGGAATTATTACAATGCATTAAAAGGGTGGTTGATCTAGGATATGTGTCACATAATTTGGGGGTGGATATGTATGACAGCATTCTGGAACATTACAGAGGGTGGCATGGTATGATAGTTGAAAACTATAAAACAGTATTATATAATTTATAGACAATTTCTATAAGAACTTGTCTATAAATTTTTATTATTTTTCTTGAGTTGGAGAATTCAAAGGTATAAAAGTTTAGCATAGGGCTTAGCATATTTTTATATATTAAAATCTAATGGAATACATCAGGCTTACAGAATATGAAAATATCTACTGCAATTAAGAATGTACAGTTTACTAGTATAATACAAATAATTTTAATTTATTAAAAAGTTATCTCTACATTGTTATTAGATATGATTTGATATATGATGATATGATGTTATTTAATACTTTAAAATATTGGATAACATTCATTCCAATGTGATAATTCTTAATATGGTTAAAAATACTTGTCTAAATAGTTCACATTTCTCATTTAAACTTTAACTTCCAATCTTATATATATAATTCAAAGTAATTATATAATTATATTGAAGTTTTTTGCATTTATTTTTATAATGTAATAATATTTAAATGTTATAGTAAATATATTTAAATATTATAATATATTGAAGTTTAAATTCTCTGAACAGGTAGACGAAGTGATGAAAGCATTAAAACAGGCATTTCACAGTGCTCATCAAACTTTTCAGTATCATCATCATCAAAATAACAAGAATCAAGCAGTTATCTGTGAAACTTGTCCAATGCATTGGTTTCATAAGTTGTGTGTCGAGTTAGAAGGTGAGAATTAACTTTTATAATATTAGCTCGTTTTTTTTCCCTATTATTTTAATGTTTCATTTCCTTAAATTTCCTTAAATCCATTAACTTTAAATTGTATTTTGTATGAATAAAGCTTTATATAATTTTTGTAGTTATTAAATGTCTGTTTAACATGTGAGAAGAAGTAAATTTCTGCTATTTGTGCTCTAAAATGAAAGTAATTTTATAAACTGTAGATAAAAACATATTAATAAATTTTTTTTAATAATATTTTATTTGTCAAATTTGTAAATTTTCTTCAGAGTGCATCTAAAATAGAAAATTTTTATTTTTTATAATTATTTTTTATTTATGATGTTAATGGATAACCGATGATTAAAACTAATTTCAAATTGGTTTATCCATTTTAAGTTACTCTAATTATGTTAATTATTACCCGAGAAGTATGCAATGTACTGTACATTAATTCATAGAGTAAATGTTCAAGTTTCACTTACCATCTTCATTCAAACATCTACTTTGCAGCAGAGAAAGCATTTTGAGTTCTGCAGTCTGTTAACTCTGAATCAGTCATTGTTGTGCAACAAGAACATTTGCCTTACATGGTAGATCACTTCAAAATTGTTTCTGAATGACAATTTTAAAGTGATCCAACATGATTGATTCCAACATTGCAAACTGCAGAATGCAAAACACTTTCTCTGTTGTGGAGTTGCCATTTTGGTTTAAGGCACTTCCCAGAGGCAGCATACAGAAAGACATTTGTAAACAGATGTTAGGTGAACTAAAAGATTTTCTCTATCAATTGATGTATTGTACGTTGTATATTTCTTGCGTAATAATTAACATAATTACAGTAATTTAAATGGTAGCATTCCTTTAGAAGAACTTGTAGATTAAGCACTTTGAGTAATATTAATATTCAGTGAAGATCAAAAATTAGCTTTAGTGACTTATTGCCAGTCAGTCTGTTCCTTCTGTGGCATTTTAAGACATTAGAAAACATATATTCATAACAAATACTCATAGTTTGTGCACACAAATAATTGCTCTCTATAATGTACAGATGTTCATAAACACCTGATGTAATATTCTTTTCCTGTAATGGGTTCACTTTCTTATCTGCAACTTTACTTTCTAAGTAACGGATAATGTAAATGTTGATTTTCTTTGTTTTCATCAAACTTTCGACAGCATCTGAAAAGAAAGAACAGATGGATGATAGACAGGATTTTACCTTAATATTTCAGTATTATTGATTATTAAACATTTCAAAATGTTAATTTAATAACAATTTAATTTTTAATTGTTAAAATTACAGAAAGTTTTCATTGTGTTTTGTTTGAAAAATGTTCTAATACCTTTAAATTTTTCACAGGACTCTCCACTGAAGAAGCCCAACTCATTATCATTAAGCGTTTGCAAAGTCTGCCAGACAATGAACGGGAAGATATAATGTTAAAGTCTCAGGTAGATATATAAAAATTTAAAAGGTGGTTTTATTTTTACATATCACTTATCATCAGATTTTAGGACCTTTGAAAAACTTAATCTGAACTTAAATTTAAGAATTCTATTCTAAACAATTCACACATATTAAAACTAAATTATTTAATTTCTGTTTGAGGATTTAAGTAAGTTAAAAATATGTAAAAGCTATATGTTTTGGTGTAAAGCCGTAGACAACCAGCCAGCTGAAGCAGTTAAGCACAAACATCAATTCATAAAAGTCAGAGTGGACATATTCCCCCAGTATTTTTGAACCAGTAAATTGTTCCCCTCTGAAGATATATACATATTTTTATTTTATATCACACTAAAAAAATAGAAATAAGTACACTGTACACAAAAGATACATCATATTTTTTACATTCATGCAAACCCAACAATGAGAAATTTTTCTAACTCTTTGTCATTGGTCTAATGCCTCCAATATATATACAGATTGTTATCAGTATAGTTAAGGCATCAGCCTACTGCTCTGGAGGACTCAGGTATAAACTCCAAGCCATCCCAGGAATTTTTCATGAGCAGTCCATTCTGCATATATTGTGTCGTTCTCTCCACAACTGTGGGCCTGACTGAATCCATGATGTTTATAGGAAAAGGGGCTCTCTTCTACAGAAAGAAGCAAAGAGCCAAAATGAAAACAGATGTATAAAAACATGATCAGAAAACTAAATTGATTAAGTTGAAGTTTTCTAAAGCTAAATGTGTTTATCCAAATCTAATAAAAAAGGAAAAAATCTAAGTTATTTAATGTTATTTGGATGTAATTTATGAACATAGTTTATATTTTCATTTAAAATTACAGAATTAAATCTGAACTTTTGTTTTAATGAATTTCAAATAATTGTACTAATTATTTAACTCTAATTACACACTAAAATGTTATATTATAGATATAAAAATTGTCATGATTACAGATTTAAATTGTTATTTAAATTATTTAAATTTATATTATACATTATATAATTTTGTAAACAAGGACATTAATATTAAATGAATTTTTTAGAACTGTTATGATTAAATTCTATTTTTTAAGAAACTTTTTAACAGTTTTGAGGATAAAATTATTGCATAAATAATTAATAGCATTGAATTTTGTTTTGAAGGGTTCTGATATAGAAAATATGCAAGAAAGAAATGAAGTATTTATGATGTTAATTCGGAGGTTATGTGAACAGAAGCAATCAAGTCATACTCACGTTTCTAATGGCAGTCATCCAACAAAAGTAGATGTAAGTATTAATATATACATTTTTAAAGAACTATTACTGAATAATAGATAAATAATAATTAAATATGTATTCTTCAATCACTCTCTTTTTCTTGTATTATTTAATAAATTAATGTGATAGTTTATTTAAAAGAAACCACACTCCAATTACATTATATATATTTTTTTTATATTCTGGACATCTTTTTTCTCTTCTTCAGTCCCTCTTTACAAATTCTTTTTTATCTAATGTCATTTTTTTTTTGTGTTAAATTCAGTGTTACATATTTATATTTGTTTAGTTATAAATTATAGTACTTTTTATAAGAAGATGAAATAATCTGTCTACAGAACTCCAGAATTCAACATAAGAAATCATTTATACATTATAGTAGTGTTTCTCAATCTTTCTCTCATTGTGGACTGCCAAACCAGTTATACACAACTATGAATTATACTTATATTTGCTTATCAAGTGTTATTGTATGTAACAAAGATGTATAGTAACTACAGATCACTATTTAAATGTCATTGTAATCAATTGTGCCATTGTCAGTACAATCAAATATATTTTTATGGATTAGTGGTTGAAAAACACTGCTTTATATAATACAAATTTAATTTTATGCTGTCTATTTTATAATATGTATCTGCATAAGAGATTAAGATTATATTCTGTAATATACAAACATCGCTAAACCCGATATATAATAAAGCTACACACCAACCGAATGCCGAAAATCTATTGGGCTAGTATAAGGCTAATTATTAAATGAAATTACGTAACCAATTTGGCTTTAGAGGTAAGCATTAGGCGCCATCTCTTATTAACATTAATAATTATAAATAAATTAATTTAAATAATTTAGAACCTCTGGAAGAAAAAATCGGCTCGGAGCGGGACTTGAACCCACAACTCCTGCTTACCGTGCAGATGCGTTGCCAGTTACGCTATCTGGACCTCCAGTCCGATCTCCTCTTCCAGCGTATATAAGCTATGTAACCATCAACGGTTATTACAACGCATCTGCACAGTAAGCAGGAGTTGTGGGTTCGAGTCTTGCTCCGGGCCGATTTTTTCTCCCAGCGGTTCTAAATTATTTAAATTAATTAATTTATTTATAATTATTAATATTAATAAGAGATGGCGCCTAACGCTTACCTCTAGTGCCAAATTAATTACGTAATTTATTTAGTAATTAGCATTAAAAAATAGCCCGATTAATTTACGGCCCATAAAACATGACTTCCAGTTTTGCTCTAACA